TGCAGAGCCATGCATCTTCATCGTTGCCATTGTGGCATCGTGGTGTGCACTCGGCATGAGCAGCCCACTGTCGAGCAGCGGGTGGTGCCACACAGTAGAAAATAGGTCTTGTTCAAGTGGTTATGCATTGTAAGCAGTGATTTACTGGTAAGTGGCCATCACTGTTTCGGCAATGAGTGGGCAATGAGTGGGCGCACTGCAAACAACAAGAGGGGTGATAGGCCATGAGTGGGTGATCAATCTTATGTCTGAAAATAAATGTCAGTTCTTTTTTCCATATGAGTTTTTCTCATAAGAAGAGTCCAGCTTTTATACCTTATATTTTGCGGAGATAAACACTACAAAATAAGTTCACTCTTTTTATCTCACCTGGAGAGAACATTCTTGGGGAAAATATGAAGAAATCAATAATGATGATTTTGCCCTGAGGATATTTTGACTCTTCTAATACCTTAAAAGGTGTAACAGCAGTGTATATTTTTGTACCACTAAAATAATAACATCTCCATGGGAAAATAGCCTAAGTGTATTTATGAAACAAACTGAATATGTTTTTGTACCTCTATCCGTGCAAAATAGTGTAAGATTAGCCCCGTGTCCCGGTGCAAATATCAAGGGTATGGACACGCACAGGCAGATATTGAACAAATTTGATTATTCATTCATGGTTAACTAGCACTACACAAAAGCACAGATGAGCAATATGGCATTTCAGGCTAAGATATTGACATACAATAGATCTTGAATGAAGTAATTTCAGCATCGACCACATAATAGCTGTAGTTAGGTGAGTACTTATGTGCAAGAGAGCCAATAAATATGCCTAGAAATTGTTTGCAATGCCTTGGGATCGTGTGTGCTCAATGCTATTGAGAGCGATAGCAAGACAGCCATGTTTAGAAGCTACAATGTGATAAAGGAAGAGGGTCGGGTTGCCACAGCACCTGTTCCAGCATCGGTCACAAAAAAAACTTCACTCACAGGGCAGACATCGAAGGCTGTATCTACGAAAGAAGATCAGCGATATGAGCATAAGCAGTTAGAGTGCTGCAGTGAGGGCTCATGTTGCAATGAGAGTGAAAATGGAAGGCTCAGTGTGAAACCACAAGGGCGTACAGTCCTGTCTTGAATCTTCTAGCAGGATATGTTTGAATACACTACCATTTAACGGTTATCTTGTTGCATGGCCCCATCAGTGACATCTGGGAAATCGTGTTGCCAGTATTAGCACAGTGGTAGGATATGGCACTTGAGCTTAAGCAGGGTTGACTACTGCGGCATGCCTGTGCATTTGGGCTTGACAGGCTTGACAGCTCTTCATGTGCTTCATAAGCAGGTCATTATTGAAATAACTTGGGGAACTGGGGGTGCAGGAGCGTACAATGACGAAAGGGTGCATATCCCACACCCCCAAGGGGCGACAGTGACAGTAGTTACATGTGGGCATAGTTACTATATACTCTAAACCATGGAAAAGCAGATGCAAAATACCAATGCATGCAGCACCAACATGCGCACACTTGAAACATGAAAATCTTACAGTCATGGAACTAAGAACATGACAAAAACTGCCACTCTGAACTGAAGGACTTCAAAAGATAGCAATGTTCAGCAGTGTGACAATGAGTGACGAGAAATGGGTGTATGTACTTGCAAGTGCATTATTGCTGCACAAACGGAAAATGAGTGGCCACACAGCGTTTGTGATAGCGCGAAAGATTCCAAACAAGTGAGTTGGAATTGGTGGGCCAAGGCATGACACATGGTGCTGCAGCCCAGGGCTGGTGGAAGCAGGGAGCTTGACGTCCAGTACAAAAGAATGATAATTTCAGAGGCTGAGCTCGAGGTCTTGAGGCCTCATCGGAAAGTGATACTGAGCCAGGATAAAAGAAGCTCGCAGTTGCTAATGACAAGACTTGGAAGTGGATAAGAGGGCTTCAGACTCGGTCAATCTGCAGGCGCTCAGAAAGTTGGGCACCTCCTTCTGCACAACTTCCCCCACCTGATCTCACAACAGCTACAGTTTAGCTCTTCGATCCCATTCTAAACTGTCTTGCCCATCATCCTTCACTAGTGCACAGCTGTACAACATTATCGAGGTTCTACTTAGAAGTAGATTGCTCAACTTGAAGCGTCCACATGCCACGCAGGTGTACACCTCCAAATCTCTCATTACTGTCCACACTCGCATGGTATCGCAGGCTGCTCAATGATGTAAGAACATCTAGTATATTTTGTTAGATTTTTATATTTCAAGTGTGTGCATGTTGGTGCTGTCCGCATGGTATTTTGCATCCGCCTTCCCATGGTTTAGAGTATATAGTAACTACATCCACATGTAACTACTCTCCACGCATTTGGACCATAACCGTCACCATCACCCCTCAGGAGCTTGCAATACACACCCTTTCATCATTGTACACTTCCGCACCCCCAGTTTCCCAAGTTATTTCAACATATTCTGCCACCGTGTACTACGCTGGTTCACTTCTACCTCTCAATAAGCTTGGCAATTCACACCACATTTACCTTCACCAGGTAAGACACTATTCTTGCAAATCCCGGCCTCCACGCAGTCTATATCCTTGCAATCTCTGGCATTTCTGACCAAAGTCACCTCATCCAGCTCAGGCCTGCCCTTTCTTCGCAGCTGAGATATCTGAGAGTGGAACCAAATGAGCATTTGCAAGGAAAAATTGCAAGGTGACTTATGTCGGGAGAGATGAGCCACCCGTAAAGTGGCCGTGCACATTCCAAATGTTCAATAAGCTGGCCAGCTGACTACAGACTTTATGTCAGTGCAAATGCCTGAAGCTGGTGATATAATGCCATCTTGTTGAGGTCGGCTGCAGCGTCCTTGGATTTTCCGGCGTCTGTGGGGTTGTAGGCACCTGGTGATCCAGGCTTGGTCTGGCACTTGGTCCTCAAGTTCCTCATGGCATGCAAGAAGCGGCGTATATGCTTGGTTGTGAGCACAGGGAGTTTTATGTTCAGAATCTTGGCAGACACAATTCTTTGTAAGAGAGCCAGATGTAGTGTTTGCAGACAACCTCACTATTCACAGTTACTTCAGATGGTGTTTCGTGATACCAGCAGTTGGAGAAAGCGCCGAGAGAACTGTGGACAGCTCTGGGCCAGAGCATTTCACTGAAGAAGACTGTCCTCAGCACTACAACGACAGTAGATGCAAACTTGGAGTACACCAGTGGCGCAAATATATCTAACGAACATGAACACATGAGTATGCTCACCAGCACTATGCGCATTTGGGCTGATGTACCATGCAGGGCAAAAATGGCACATCCAGTTCTATGGTGCATTGGAATACAATCTTGAGGAACTTTTTGAGCCTCACAGGTGAAATGCAATGGTGATTATACCCTCTAAACAGAGGTCCTTTCTGGGTTAGAGGATGCCTTATGGCATGCACAACTTGGAAATAGGAAAAGGTAATGAAGCTGGATGATAATAACACAGGAACATTAACACTGATATACCCGATTATGCACAGTGGCACAATCGGGCATGAGCTCTTTGCATGCTTGAGACATTTAATCTACATTGGATAGGTACAGTACTTATACCCGATTGTGCACAGTGGCACAATCGGGCATAAACTCTTTCTGCAGGCATTATACACGATTGTGCACAGTGGC